CTTACTAGAAAACTTACTGATCTAATTTGTTCCTAGTGAATGACCATATGTATGGGTTTGAATCTGCCAGTGAGTTGTGGGAAGGTGTGACCAGCTCGCTCGCACTCTTCAGTACTGGCCTGAGTTGCTTGACCTTGATATAGAATATGACCAGTGCTCATCCTTATTCCTGACAGCAATATTTCTGTTGCTGATGGTGTTCTCTTCTAGATGAGTGTCTTGGTCAGTGAAGGATTGTATGGTGATTCATGACTACACAACAGCCCACACACAGTTCTTAGAATCCTGTTGGAGTAGAGCCCTGATATGCAATGAGTATAGTTTTCATTTGTTGTTCTTCATGTACAAGCATTCTGGGTCCCAAATGGAACAGATGATCAGAAGATTGTCTGGGGTCTCTCCTGCAAGTGATCTTTTGATTGAGAAGCACAGCAGAATCCAGAAAAGACTCTTGTTTACAGCCAACTTGGATGTTGCTGAGGTTCTGGCTGGTTCTCCTACTAGAGAAAATTACAAAGATATGCTAATTTCTGAGGGGCAGCTGTGTATTGATTGTGACTTTAAAGTGTGGTATGAATATAACATGTCCAAGGGTGGGGAGCACCACGTGACTGCCAGGAACTTCTCTATGTGTTAGACTGTGGTTCAATGAACACTTTTAGCTGGCACTGCTGGAGAAGCAGTCACTCTTCTTTGCCAGAACGAGTATTTACATGGCCATCCTGTGAACTGGTTTGGGGAACTGATCCATCTGAAAAATAAATTGGCAAAAGAAGTGCTCCTGGTTCAGTGTTCGGATGTTTGTCCTGGCACAGGGGACTGGCAGATGGTGAGACTTTCTTTCAGCAGCACTGCAAATTTATGCCAGTTTAAAGTGTTTGCCAAACTACAGCCTTAGTTTAACACTTGGAGTCTGATTCTCCCAAAATTTACCCTTGAAAATTTGAGTGCGTTTTAAGAAATCTTTGCTAGCTGTCTATTTTTTTCTTTCTTAACCTTTGTTTTCTTTGTTCTTCTGTGTACAGTGTGAGACTCAGTTCTTGCCATCAGAAATGCATTCTTCTGTCCTCCAAGAATCTTCCTTGTGAGAGTTTTATACAAGAAACTTTGCTGGTCAACGCACCAGGTGATCCCATGTAACATGTACATGGGATCAGGGGGGGACGCAAAGAGGGCCATCAATAAAACTTCTACCCTGGACTTTTACAGGGCAGATTTCAGCCTACTCAGAAGACTGGTTCAGAGGGTACCTTGGGAAACAGCCCTTGAAAACAAAGGGGTCCAGGAGGGATGGACATGCTTGAAGAAGCAAGTCTTGAACACACAGGAGCAGGCTGTCCCAGTGTGCCGAAAGGCGAGCTGGGAGGGAAGACGGCCAGCCTGGCTGAACAGGGAGATTTTGAAGGAAATTAGGGGGGGGAAAAGAGAGCTTACTGGCTATGGAATGGTCTAGTAACACAGCGGTGTTGGATCAAGGGTTGGACTTCATGATCTCGGAGGTCTTTTCCAACCCGGTTGATTCTATGATTCTATGTACAGTGGAAACACGTTTTCTCCAAATCAAAGCTGATTTCCCCACACACCCTGCAGCTTCAAAATCAACTTACTGTTATGCTTTTTGGCTGTCCCTATCCATTATTCTAGAGTTTTATTAGCACCGAAGATGTTCTTGAGTTCTCTATTTCAAGACAGAGCTGGACTATCATCTTCTGCAGTGAACAGTGTGCTGCAGCTTGCTGCTGTTTGCTGCTGGTAAAGAAGGTCCCTACTCAGCCCCATCCCCTTGTGTCCCATCCACTTCTTCTGCTTCAGGGGCTCTGTCTGAAATAGGCACTTTGAGTACTATTTCACATTTCATGTCTTGTTTCCTCTCTATTGCCCAGTGCATTAGGATAGCTCTATGAAATTCTGGATTGGTTCGTTGCGTGCTTTTTCTCAGTCATTTTTTACTAACTAGAGTTCATTTTTGAGTTGTTACTGTTCTGGAGATAAGGAACCTGTAACACTGTAGTTTGTGCACATCAGTGATTTCAGTACAACTGTGGGTAATTAATTTTTTCCTGTCAGTGATACCAATGATTTTCTGACTGTGTAGCTGCTTTGATGTTCTGTGCTGTCTTTCCTGCACAGAACGGGCTCAATTTAATACTGTTCAAAAATCAAGCAGGATGCTTCTCATCATAGCTGTACAGCTTGAGAGGAAGAGCTGTCTTCCCTCTGCTGTGGCCTCTTGGACTGAAGTTCCTTGGAAGTAATGTCCTGCCAAGTCATAGGACTGTCTGAACAGCAGTTCTCAGATCTCTGGGTTAGTTGTATCAGTAACCTTGACTGAGAGATGTTTTCCCTTTTTCTAAATGATGCTTAATTTCTGAATAGGTTGCCAACTATTTCCTGAAAAAAAATCAGCAGCATGTTATTCTCTTCCATGATATTTACCATGTTCATAGTATTTGTATTTCAGTTGTCTTTAGACTGTCTTGGTTAATATCTGACAGCTTTTAGGTTGAACAGGCTAGGTTGCTATCGGAATTTTGCAGGATGTGGTCTTTGTAGTTGCTACTGTCTTGTTCTGTACTGAGTGCTAGGGTGTATATTTGTACCTCTAGGTATGTACGTAGTGTACTTGGAGCTTAAATGAAGGCTTTCTGCTGCAGCAGAAAGGAAACTTGTTATAAAAGGGAAACGGATACTCTGTATAGAGCAAAAATTTCTTCTTGCCCATCCGGAGACTAAATCATTTTTCTTTAGGCTCCTTGGAGAGCTCTTGTACAATGACAGCACTTTTTTCAGTTCAGAAATTCATTTTGGGGCTGTTGTGAGTGGGTTGATTAATTAATTCTTTGTTGGGACACTCATAGGGCTCTCTGGCTCTTGCGCTGATATATTTTGTTACTTTTCAGTAAGGGTGTGACTGTAGACAGTGCAAGGACTGTACAAGTGTTTTTTGGAAATAAGCTTACTCAGAATATATCAATTCAAGATCTTTATTCACTGGCATGTTTTTTACACTGCACTAAGAAAATAATATTTTGAAAGTATTTTCAGTGAACAGAAGAGTGAAGTTATTTGACTACTGAGTTTGATGGTCATTATTTATGATACCCTTTTTTCTTCCACATTTGTGACTTAGACCCCTCAAAAGGAGGACTAATGCTAGTCTTTGAGACCTTCTGAAAAAGTCATTTGGTGCTCATTAAATCCTTATAAACTCTTTCCAGTTTTTGAAGATTGTTGGTAAATGATGGGTGATCAGGCATATTTTCAGAGCAGGCTTATGCCAGAATTAGCTGGTAAGTGGCAGTCATAAGCTTCATGTCAAAAACGAATCCACTCCGTGTTCCAGGACAGTGTCTGTCAAAAATAGAGCAATGCTTTTATGCACGTAACAGCTGCTTACACTTGAAGACTTTCTTGTTCTTTGGTATTTAGCTTAAAACTACTTGAGAGTATTTTTGTTAGCATATGATGTTATAAATAGGAATTGGGTAGAAATGTGCACGCCTGCACGTCTGTGTGGCCATTGTTTGTGGAGGTAGAGTGGTTATCGATATGTTGTATGCATAGTGCTCTAACAAAGAGATGAAGTCCATACATGTAGGGTAATTAATGAGGCCTAAAGAAAAAGATTATTAAATACCCCAAGATTAATTTTACACATTAATTTAGAGTCAGACCAGCTTAGACCGCATAGTTTGACCATGAAGGCATTCTGGGCTGTACAAATTATGTACAACTTTTGACGAGATGCTGCTGTGTGGCCCCAGAGTGCTGCTGTGACAGCAGAGCCCGAGACTGCCTTGCCTTGTTTAAGCAAAAACAAACATGTTGAAAATGATATAAAGGTGAACGCAGTGAGGGGAGTTCAGGAAGCTGTTTTTCCTTTTGATCCTAACAGGGTGGAGGAATTGTTACATTGGTTGTCAGATGCTTAATTCAGTTTTGGTTTGTTTTGTTTTGTTTTTTTGTGTCTTTAGTTGGTTTGATTTTCTTTTTATATGGATATATTTTAAATATATTTACAGGAAGATCTTATATTATTGATTCACATCACTTTGTTCTGTTGAGAGCTCAAAATTCTTGGTGAATTGGCAGAGGCTGTAGGTTTCTCTGCTGGGCACAGTCTTGCTGTGGCTTGCTGACCTTCTGGTATGCCAGGGTCTGTTATCTTCCTGCTTGCGTAGGTCAGAAGGCTGCAGCTGTATAGTTAGAACAGTCCTGAAGTTACTAGTCAAATTAAACAAAAAAGTTACAATAATAGATTAACCTGACTGTTGTGATAATGTGGAATTTAAATTGCTGTAGATTAAAAACTTGGTCTATACTAACTTTGAGGCCAGAATCCTCATATATTTAAGTTCTCTGCCTTGTGAAAAAATCCAGGGATGTAACATGTGAGAGGTTTCCAAAGCAGTTTATAGTTAGTTAATAACACATCTTTCTTGTTGCTGCTCTCTGTGCTGTTCAAGCATCTGTTCAAGCAGCTAAACTTCGCTGTGGATGCCAAGATCCCTCAACAGCTTCTGCTGTATTCGGACAGTGTGTGGTCTGTGCTCTGCTGAAGGCATCGGGCCTTTCCAGTGTCGGTGGTTGTTGCATTGTTGTTCAGGCAGCTGGCATGCAGCCTTGCTGCTGTGAGAAAGGAAACTGTGGCCAGTTGATAAGGGCATCTTAAACTGACTCAATTTCAGCTGGCATACTAGATGATGCCTAGTAAAATAGATGCTGTCTTAAGCGTCCCTCTGTTTGGCTTAACCTTATTTGTGTCTCTTTTAGCCCCTATATGACAGCACATCAGCCACTCAGTGCCGCTCTTCATGGTGGTGGATTTGCTTTTTCAGATCATATGGTGAGAGGCTGAGAGAGCTGGGACTCTATTGGAGAGGAGAAGGCATGAGGGGACTGTACCCGTGTGTACAGATACCTGATGGAAGGAGCGAAGAAGAAGGATCCAGACTCTTTTCAGCAGTGCTCAGTGACGAAGCAGTGGGCACACTGAGATGAAAGACATTCCATTTAAATGTAAGAAATGCTTTTTACACTGTGAGGGTGATCAGATGGAGAAGCAGGTTGCCAGAGAGGTTGTGGAGTCTCTATCCTTGGAGATATTAAAAACCTGATTACTGCTCCCCCAGCCCTGAGCAAGGGGCTTGACCACATGATCTCCAGAGGTGCCTGCCAACCTCAGCCCTCCTGTGGAAAAAAAAATACTGCAGATTGGAGTGGAGGAGATACCAAAAAAGCCAATTTTTGCAGTCTGTTAAAACACTTTTTTCAGAAGTGGCACTGTCAGGATAAGTCCTGCTTATTGCATCTCTGAGTGAAATGGGCAGAAGTCTGTCTTCCTACTAGCGGTTGTTTGCTCCGTAAAGGATCATTGTGGTTGAATATGTCGGTAATGTAACTGTTTGAAATATTCCTACCTTGGATCCCTTTTGGTCATTCAGGTTGTCACTTGTACTAAGTCTGTGCAGCTGCCTCTTTCCTGATTTCTCACAGGTTGCGTGTTTTTCAGTTCGTAGGTGCATATACTCCTAGCACAGTTCTTTCCTAGTATAGCTTTCAAAGCATGTGTACACTTCACAAGACTGATTGAAGCAAAAGTTTAAGAAATGAACATCAATTATCTATAGGGAGCTCATACTTTCTCTCAAAAATTACAGAATTATTTTAAATTTATATATGATTTTAGGACCATTTCTGTACTGAGAGGGCATAATGCAGTAGGGATAGTTATCCTTTCTTTGCAAGACACACAGAAAAGTGAAATATGCTGTTTCCAACAGACAGTCCACAGACTACCCAAAAATGCTTTATTTTAATATTTCACCTATTTTTATTTATGTAGCAAATTTGTCACAAACATCTGGACAACATTGTTTTCGGTACATTTCAGTTTCACTTAAGAAAAATGCCACCCTCTCGATATTAAAAAAGTTTCAGAGAAGTGTGAGAAGGGAACATTTGAAGAGGTAAGAGTCAGGCTCATATATTTTATTCAGGCTCTTGAATAAATCAAAACCCTGCAGCTCTCAAGTTACAATCCTCACCCCCATCTACCTTCTAGTCATTTTCTTTCATCTGTCTTCCCCACATGAACTTGATGCTCCTGCCCACTTCTGTTCTGCCTGCGATTCCCTGGGGACCTTGTTCTGCAGTGGTGGGTTCATTTTCTGCTGAGGGAGAGGAGAAGAGGTGCTGAGAGAGGCGAGCTGCCCCAGCAGGGCTGCAGAGGGCTAGGCTTGCCTCAGTTGCTGTTCTCTGCCAGGTATTCAGCAGTTGCAGCACCCTGTCAATGGAGTCTCCTCTGCAAGGACTGCACTCGAAAGATAAGAGCGACGTGCCTCTTCTGAGATGCCAGTTTGACCATCCATGCCATATATCTAGTTGTGAATTGAGGCCAGATGGAGTTGTGCTCATCTGAAGTGACCTTCTGTGTAAATGAGATGCTAGACCATCCCTGAATTGTAGGTTAAAGCTATGTGTTACTGTTAAAAGAAAAAATATTAAACCCAGTTGTTGTTGTTACTGTTCAAATGCTCAAGACCCACTCTGCTGAAAGACCCGCTTTACTCAGTTTTTGCACTCTGGCTAATTAGTTTCAGGTTCTAGCAGGTTGCCCTCTCATGTTCGTTCTATGGGAATTCCTCCTTGTCAGATGTGTCCATTTCACACAAGTATTTGTCCTCTATGTTCATACCGTTCTGTATTTGTTGTAAATAATCAATAATTGGTGTGTGTATAAAGCTTCAAAGTGTATATAAACTGATGCTGTTATATACTGTCCACCTCTGTCAGTTCAGGAGCTCTGAGCCAGAGGTTGCATCTAGACCACTGCTTGTAATACGTGCAGATGGATGGACATATTTGCCATTAATTTGTGTAATCTTGTTTTAAAAGCCATTTGTACTTTTGGCCTCTGCAACATCCTGTAACAGCAAGTCCTGCAGTTTGATTAGGTGGAAAAGGAACTTCCTTTTGTTTAAAACCTACTGATGGTGATTTCAGTGTCTCCTGGACTCTGTATTGTGAAAACTCATTTCCCAGTAGTTTTACTTGTCATGTTTTTTAAAAAAGTCCGGCTTTGCTTCCATGCATTTTTTCAGCTGACATACTTTCCCTCCTAAACTGAAGAACTGTAGTCTTTTTAGTGTTTATCCATTGGGTACTGCCCCACTATTCTGGTCCTTCCTGCTGCTCTTCTGTGCAGCTTTTCTGGTTCTGCTAATAAGGTAAGGCAAGCAAAATCACAGTATTTAATGTCATGAGTTTGTATGCTGGTGTGGTGATATATTCTGCGTCACCTTTCCTTGTTTAGTGACGTATGACACTTTAGTTGCCTCCTCTGCTGTGCTGAGATGATGTTCCTAGGAAAACAGCCTGTGTTTATTACTTTTTTTTTTCTAAAGTGATGCTATCCAGTTTAGAAGACATCACTTTATAAGTAAGCTTTTTTTTTCCCCCCAAGGAATATTCCTTAACACTTACTCTTTCCTGAATTTCACTTGCTGTTTTGCTGTCCAGGCACATAGTGTCATTTTGCACCCTTCTGTGTACCTTTCTGCAACCAGGGCTAGGATGAACTATGCAGCATATTACTGCGTGTAAACACTGTCATTCTGCTGCTCATCTCCTATTCATATGAGGTCACATATGAAAAGTACAGGTTCTGTGGGGATCCCGCTGGCAACTCCTCATTTTTCACTGAAAGAAGGTTAGTTTGCTATCGTGAAATTGCAGTTGCAGTTTACTGTTTTAGTGCTCTTTGCTTTGCTTGTTCCGTTACTTTGAAATGCCTTGAAAGTAAGATCCATGCTTGAAGTGCTTTATACTTAAAAATTTCTAATTTTTGTATTAAAATTAATGCCTTGAGTAAAATTTTATTAAATCTCCATTATAGCTTGGAGAAAATGACATGTAGTGACTCCCGAAGGCCTCCTAACACCTGGCACAGACTCAAGAACAACACAGGAGTTCCTATACTGGAGTCCTGACTTTGTCATTTTCCTTAGTGAAAATAGAAAATGGGAGTGGCCTCTCTCATGAGCCAAGGCTATGCCAAAATTATATCGTAAGAGGTCATAAGCTAAACATATATTATTTTTACCTGTTTAGTCCTATAGCTTTATTTGTAAACATGGAAAATAATATTCCACTGCAGGACAAGAAATACAGATGAAGGTGCTATCAACTAGCTTTATTTTTAGTTTAGTCTTCTCCTTTAGCAACTAGAATTTTGCAGATTTCTGCTTTTTACTGTCTTTTCTCTTTCTACACTCAGATCCTGCTACTTTGAAGGAACACACCCATTGAAAGACAAAGCTAGTATTAAATGAACCTTCCTGACCGTTGAGATTTCAGTTTCTACAGTTCAGCTTGTAATAGCTCCATATTAAAACCCCAGAGAAAACATACCTTTGAAGAGTGAAAATTCCGATGCCCTTTCCCCCCTGCCTTCACTCTCCCACCCGCCTTTTGGGAACAGCTTTCTAGAGGGAGTGATGGAATTTTCCAGGGGCTCAATGGGGAACAGAATTGGCCAGCAATGAGAAAATCGAGTCCCTTTGCGATTTTTTCCTTTGAAAAGTCTCTTAAACTTTTTTTTGTCATCTAGCCTTCATCTTCAAGGAAGGGTTATCTTGGCTTGGCAACCCTTAATTAAGGTTACCTTTACAGAGTAAGTAGATTCTTGTTTTCTGGAGTAACTTTCGGTTGTTTTCATGGTAGCTGTATAGCATTGCTTGTATTGATCCTGGGGATAAAATATATGTTTTTTTACTGATTTGTGTGTGTGCCAAGTGGGGGAATAAGTCAATAGTTAGGCTTGAGGGCAGAGCTGCCATTCAGAGAGATAGTTAGCTTTTTGCAAGCTACTCCATGTGAACATTTTATCTGTGAGACCAATGATATGAGCAGCCTTCTGCCCGTAGTGGGTGGATATGAGTACAATAGTGCTGTGCTGTGTGTGGAGCGGAAGCTTTTTTCTGGTCTTTGCTTGCAATTCTGTGTGCTGAGAGTAACCTCCAATGTCCAAGATGTTTTGTGGTGTGGTTCATTAAGGGGCCGGAAGCACACAAAAGCAATTACAGCTGAGGCCTGCTGGGGTGTCTCAGTCATTAGTGCTTGCAGCCTCATTTCATGGGGTTAATAGCAGGGCAGTTGCAATTAAAACCTGTACTGTGGAACTTGCTCCCTTCGTTACTGCAGCGCATGGTTGGCAAATGCATCCACTGTCGGCAGGTCCTTATCCACTCCCCTTCTTCTCCATATTCTTCCCTTCAGCCTTTCTATGGCTTCGGAATTGGCTTTCCTCTTCTTTGGTTGCCCGTGTCAGAATAGTCAGCTAGTGAGGAAACAAAATGAGTTTTGGGATTCATTGTGTCTCTAGTATAAAGATACAGGGCCATCTACTATACGTAATAGAAATTAGTAAATCAGTTGGCTGCCTACAGATAACTTCTTGAAATGCAGTCTTCTATTTAGAAACTGCTATCCAGTGTTAGTGTACTAGATACGTGTTTTAGAAGATCTGTTGTTTATTCCTAGTAATTATGTAGAAATTTCATTTTAAAATACAGTCTCTGCTTCAAAGACCTATTTCTGCCAATCCTGAAATCTGGAATGTAGGATTTTTAGAATTGATTTCTGTTCCTCTTGTTCCTTAGTTCTTGTGATATTCAGCATTATTTTCCCCCTTCCAATAATGCAGACTTTTGTCAGTGTTGCTATTCCTTCTGGTGCCTGCTTCTTTATTCATCTTCCCTTTGTTTCACTGTACATTGTATGTCCGTCAGTAATTTCCACTGCTGTTGCTTGAGGTGATGATGAGTTCATATCCTTGACTTGTTTTGTGGTATTTGCAGACTGAGGCAAACACTTTGTCATCAATTATGTTTTTTCTTTTTGTTTGTTTTTCTTTTTTTTATTCACACAACATTAAGCTAGGAACAGGCTTTACTTAAGCTCTGCAGATCTTGCATGTAGGTTGCATAAATATGTCCTGTGGAACAATGATGTGACAC